TCCCTTACTATTTGATCATCGACCACAAGCAAATTTAATGCAGGCTCTAATTTTTTTCACTTTATCAGCATATAGTAAGTGGAATTCTACCGTGTCTTCGTATCTATTTCAGGTGCCAGGTAGGGAATACTTTTTACATTACAAAACTCTTTTAAAGCATTGTTTGTTGGTTTTGATGATTTAATATATGACATCAACATTCTTACTTTTGAAATTGAATTATCTACATGCTTAAACCCTTGACCAACTACAAGATTTAAAATATGGGCGACGCATCTATAATGCGAAAATTCAAGATTATCAAATTCTTCCCCAAGTTCTTCTATTATAAGTTCACCACATACGATCATCGACGAAGCATTGTTGGTAGTGAGGGCTAAGGTTTTTTTTTCTAAACCGAATTCACTAAGGACATTCATTACAACATTAGCCATATTGGAGCCTGTATAACGCACTTCCATTGGAATAATATCTAAGAGAAAACTATTTAGTTTCCAAGAAGAATCAACGAAATGGATTGTTAGACTAAGAAATGTGGCACCATTGGATGCAGTCCACATATCAGAGGTGAACGACGCTTTTCCGGAAATTTAAGAGAGTACTAATTTTACTTGTTCTCTTTTATTTTCAAATAGAGTTACAACACGATCCTTTTCCATGTGACAATTATGAAATTGATAACGTGGGTCAAATTTTTTTATTATATCCCACCATTCTTTGCATTCAATAACAGTAAAGGGTTGCAAATCACACAATATCCATTTTGTTACAGCATCATCATGCTCTTGCCGTTCTTCCGTCGAATGAGAAATATAATGATTTTTAACTGCAGATTTATTTTTTTTTTGTATCGATGCAACAATATCATGCACTTTCAGATGTCGCCTTAATGTTGAAGTACTAGTGTTCTTTCCATATTTTGATGGACATCATTTACACTTCCGTTTTCCAGACTTTTTAATTTTAACAAAATGTTTCCACACAGTTGAGGGTTCTTTTCCTTTTTTTTGGAATGGTGAATTTACATAATTATCTGAATGGGTACTCGTTAATGAATCACTTTTCTCACATTCATAGATTCCATTATTATCCTTATGATCAATTACAGAATTCGAAGAATTAGTACTCATTGTTTTTTTGGATAAAAGTAAGAAATTGATTATTTATACACAACAATTATGAAAACGATGTATAACTATTATGATTTAACTGTTACGATTTAAAAGAAATGAAGTTTATAAAAAAAAAGAACAATTTACAATTTTTTTGAAACACTTTTAATAGATCACATTGTATAACAATTGAGTTATAATTTTATCATGCAAAAATAAAAAAAAAAAAATTAAAACGTAATTTAATCTCTGCATTTTTAGGGATCGTATGACATTATTCTTTTATTGAGAATCATTGAATATTTATGCATTAAATACATTATTCATTCTAATATGAATGCATGACCTCAAACTATACTTAATTATTTAAGACTTTTAACAATAGAGGCCTGTACAGGCAGGTTTGAATTTAAAAAATTTTAAGCATGGGTCAGATCCATTAAGTGTTCTCAAACACTTAAGTCAATCCGTTGGAACGGATCTGAGAGCAAATTTGATTAGTAATGTGATACATGTAATAAAATAAGGAGAGTTTACATATAAGAGCCCGAAAGAAAATAATTACATTTGAAAAGCAAATTTTTTGCATATAAAATTATATAATGTAATTGTCTTTTGACATTTAAACGTATTACTTTTTAATCAGTATTGCATTTATTTTCTTAGCATCTTTCATGTAAAATTATAACCACTTTTTTTGATTTTTAAAAGTAATTTAGCTTTCTCTACGAATAAAAATGGTCTACTTCGGTTCTAAATATCTTCGATTATTGGATAGTAACCTTCACAAAATATTGATTTACTGGTTTGGTGTAGCGATAGGATAAAACACATTGTTTAAAACAAATAAACATTACAATAACAATCGTAATTAACCTAAATCCATAATTTGTAGACGAATATCTAATTCTCTAAGATTTTTACATAAATTAGGTAAAGTTACCATATTCTTGAAATGACCAGATTCTGTAGTATAAGCAAAATTAAAGTGAAGTACACGCAATTTAGATAATAGATTAGAATGAAGAGTAAAGATAGAAGAGGATGGAATGTCAGAGATAGAAGGTTTTCTCCAAAGAGTTAATTGTGTAAAATCTAAATCTTGATGGAAAAATAATTTGCATAAAGTTTCTGAAAGTAAACTTTTTTATCGGCCTCAATAATTAAACGATTCTTATCTTTTGAATGAAAGAACCAATTTTTAACGGATACATCCAAATCCCAATTATCGAATATCTTTAAAAATGAAGGATAATTAAATTAGTCGAATTGTTTCTTGTTAATAAGAAGGTTTATTAAGTAAAAGATAAAGTATTAATAAATACATACATAACATACTGTATATATAGTTATAGCATTCGAAGAACCACTACATATTATAATGCAAAGTTATTTTAAAATTTGGCCCTTATATGGAATTATTTCCACTTTGGGCCCTTATTTGAATAAAAAGGAAATAACGTTCACTTTATCTTTAGATCAGCTCTGACTAGTTCAGACCAGTCTCGAGACTGGGGACTGGTTAATCATGGGACCAGTTAAAAGACTGATTCTTATTCAGTCTTTCCAGGACTGATCTATCCCTAACCAGAAATAGGTAAAGTGTTGAGTTTTTAGGCGCTTTTGGGGCATTGTTTTGCTAGATAGTTTGGTTTCTGAAATGCAGATTATATCTAGGGCTTGTTGTAGATAGTAGTGTTCTCATATTTTTTTTTTTAGTGTTTGTATTAAGGCCTTGTATATTGTGCATACAGATTGAGAAAGTTAGTAGATATAGGGTAGGTGTAAGTTGGGAGGTATTGAGATGGAAGGTATTTGGGTTTTGTATAACATATGTAGGGAGGTTAGAGAGAGAAGAATTAGTGATATGTTGTATTAGAAATTTAAAGTGTGTCTATTTGGTCAGAGCTAACTAATAGAAAGATGTTGGTGGCTATAGTAGAGGTTGTTGTAGTTGTAGCCTCTGTGGGTTCAGTAATAGGTAGTTCTGTCATGGTCATAGTTGTGTCAGTGTCTGGAATAGGTGTAAGCATTGGAGATGCCTCTTCTAAAGCCAAGGTAATACTTGTAAATAATTGTATAGTACTGGGAGTATTAAGATGCTTTGTAGATATGTTGTCAAATATGCTCCACTTGGGTGGAGAAAGAGGTGGAAGTTTTAATAAAAAGTCAGAGATTGATTTGATAGTATAGTACTATCTGAGTATTTTCATAATAGATGTAATGTCGAGTTGGTTCTGGATTGGTAGAGAGACGATGACTTCATATTTAGCAAAGTCCTTGATGATTTCTTCAATATTGCTAGGGATATTAGGAAGATATGGATTGGTAGCATTTTTGATTTGAATCCAGCTAGTAGGAAGTTGGGTAATGTAGTAGTGGCTACATAGTAATTTGGCAGTAGCTAAGAGCTGTTGTAGGGTAGTGATTGGTAGAGAGATATTGAAGCTTTCAAGGACATCCTCAGCCATGGGGAGAAGAGGCTTGTTGGTGGGATTCGCTTGTATAATTTCAGATAAAAGAGGATACTGGATTTAGTAATATGTAGAAGCTTGCTTGATGAATTCTTTTGCTTCTGTATTATTTGTAATAGGGAAAGTAAATTTCATGGTGGTTTTAATTTTGCTGATGTCTTTGGGCAATAGAGGTTTTATGACGAAGAAATCATTTGGTAGAAGTTTGAAAGTATAGTATTCTCTAAGTATAGTGATGACATCTGTGAGAGGAATTATGAAGGTAGCTAGGTTGAATGGGAAGTATTTTCAAACTATGGAGTTAAGTTCTTGGTAAGTTGAAGGGAGAGACTTCTTAGAAGGTGAGAGTTTGAAGTAGGTATTAGGGATTTTGGTTACTGTGTAGTAGTCTGCTAGTTTTCTTTTATATGCAGCTAGGTGCTGAAGAGAAGATCAATATGAGATCAGAAATAGCTAGCAAAGGCTAGCAGAGAGAGTACTAAAGTGTAAAGGTAAGGGAGGAAGTTTGGCAAAGTAGGTTGCTGATAACTTAGAAAATTTGAAGATTCTTCTCAAAGCATTAACTATCACTCTTGTATGAGACCGTTATGTAATTGGAAGCTTAAACAGGAGAATAGTTTGGATTTCTGTAGAGATTTGGTCAGGCATATCTGGAAGTGGGATTAGTTTGTTTTCTAGTGCATTATTGATTTGGGTTTTAATTTCTTTGGGAGTTTGTTCATCTGAGTTTTTGATTTGTAAAAAGCCTCTGGCATACTGAATTACTCTGTATATTTGCCTTGGTAGGATGCATGCAAAGTTGAGGTTAGAGATGTATTGTGAGATAAGCATCCTCTTAAGTATTGTGTAGATAGTGTTGCAGGTTGTAGTGTTGGTAAGTATAATTTCATTATCTTTTTTGTAGGCTATAAAGGCTCTATCAAAGAGGTTAGTATATTCTTTTTGGTATGCAAGAGTGGTTTTAGAGTTGCGGGTAAATGTTGTGAAGAATCTGGTGTCAAGATATACAAATTTTAGGAAGATTGCTTCAGACAATTTAAATTGAGTAGATATAGTAGCTAGCTTGTAGCAGGTGAGTTTGTATATACTTTCTGGAGTAGTAAGTGCAGTTGCAATAGTGTTGTATGTCCAGATCTCTGTATTGATGGGGGTGTTGAAGGGTGTGGAAATTCTGCTATGTATGATTGTAGCCTATTCCATATTATCAGGAACATTAGTAGCCAGTAATTTGAAGTTGGTTTTGGTGACTTGGCTATATGATAATTTGGTTGTAGAAGTCTGGTTGTTTGTAGAAGGTTTGGAGGTAGTAGAAGAGCTACCAAGAAACACTTTGGCAACCTTGTTGAAGGTTGTAATTAATGGTAATATATTTCTAGCTCTTTTATAATTGATACTAGCATTGGGTGTAGTAATTTGGCCTGGAGGTGTACTGGGTCTGGGTGTAGAGTGGGTAGTGGTAATGGTATTACTGGCAGTATTGGTTAGAGATGTGGTGATAGTTGGGTGGAGGTTTGTATCTTTGTCTGCATTACTGTTTGTAGCTATACTCGTATTTGTTTGGTTGCTAGCTAGATTGTATGGTGGTATGGATTTCTTGAGAGCTAAGAGGTGTGTGTTGTGTTCACTGTTGCTTTTGTTGGACTCGTTGTCAGATTTGATTTGTGTAATGAAGTTGTATGGGATTCTGGGCAGGTCAGGAATACTTTTAGCCTTGGTGTATGATTTTATACTACCTTCATAGGCCTGTATGGTTGTATTAAGGTTACAAGTGCAGGTTGATTTGGAAAATTTGGTGCTAATGTTGATAATGTTGTTTTTTTGTATCGTGAGGTCGAAAAGAACTAATTGGATAATATCTTCATGTTTGCAGATCCATTAGAGAGAGAAATTTGCCAAATTTGGAATTCTTCTTGATTTGGTAATATTAATGTAAAAGAGAAAGTTGTTGGTGTGTTCCGGAATGGAGAATCTGACTATAAAGATGAGTTTGGACCAATCTTAAATAGTAATTTTAATGAAATTTTCTGTATATTCTGTTTCTGGGGTTGGTAGTATGGTGCCAGATAGATTGTCACTAGGTTGTACAAGTTTGCAAGATGGGAAAAAATAGCTAAAGAAAGAGGAGGAGCTTTTAGAAGTCATATTTTTGCTAAGAGCTGAGGTTTAGTGATTTGGGTATTGTGGTAGTTCTTGGTGTTTTTGTATAGCAGGTTGGTAGTGCTTGGAGCAGGGCTGTTTAAATGTTGGCTATCCTTATAGCTGCTTTTGTGGAAAGATAGAAAAACTGGTTTTTTGTCTTTTGACAAGTTTATTGCTATTTACTTGATAAGGAAGAAGCTTTTTAAAGAAAATGCACATTTTTTAAATACAACTAGAAGGCCTGAATAATTTTACTTAAGAGCTAAATAACTGTTTTTTTAGTAGGTTTTTAAAATAATTTTGTGAGAAAGTTTTTTTTTCTTGTTTCTATTTTGGTAAAAGTAATCTATAGGGAGAGTTTATTACAAATATAATATATATCAAATAGTATTTAAATAATACTATTCAATATATATATATTAATTTTTTACTAGTAATATATATTTATTTTTTTTTTAATATTTTATTAAGCCAACTAGATATTTACTCAGCTACTGTTCCAGATAAAATGCATTATTTAGACTTAGGGCTATTCAATTATCAAATAGTCTACACAAGAGAAATGCTGAAGAACTTTTGTGATCAGGCAGCAATTGATGAACTTGATCGATGTTTATTGAATATTCAAAGGTTTCTGAGATTAAAAATATTTAAAGAGGGTCTAAAAAATATTAAACAGTTTACAGCTGATGAGTATTGTAATATGATGAAAGTATTTTTATTCATTGTTAAGGGTCTAATTAACAAAGCTTCAATAGAAGCAAATATTGCAAAGCATTATGATGATGCATTAGTTAATATTTATTATTGATAGAATAAAATGTATTTATTTTGCCGAAAAGAATTTTTTCTTGAATCAGATCTTTTAAAACTTAAAGTATGTATTTTATCATAATAATTAATAAATATATATTATTCATATATAATTTAATCTATTTCTAGAATTTGATTATGAATTAGGCGATGTTGTTTTTAAAGCTTTTTATAAAGTATTCACCTTCGCAACTTAAACTACCTAAGTTGCATAACTGGTATTATCACATAATTGCAGCAATAAAGAAATATGATGTGATTAATGGGTTTATATCAGAAACTTATAAAACTTTGTACAAAGACTATGTGAAGAAACTATATAGAGCTAGTAACAAATGTGATACAACTGGACAAATAATTCAAGCAGTTAGTATTAGGTTATATACTGTTAAAATTAAAAGCTTTAATGTCAAATATAGTATAATCTAAATGCTACCTAATCGATCATTTAACATTATCATATGACTTTACAAATATGCATACTCTGTGATAATATTGAATAGTATATTAAGTAGTATTTAGATTATTTTAATTTTTATTACTGTATATATTTTTATTAAATTTTTTTTTAATACGTATAGGTTTCTCATAGTTCAACTATAAAATATTTATTTAAACACAAAAAATCTAAAGTGATTGTAAAATGTTATAAAAAAATTGCAATAAATGGTCTTTTGAGAACATTTTTATTAGAAATAGCTGCGATTTTTTTGCTTCTTACAAAGCAAAAAAAGATTTGGCTCCAGAAGCTTTACTAGCTTTTGATCAATTTTTTTTATCATTAAATAAATTCTTTAACTTATTTGAAGATTTGACTGAAGATATAATAAAAGGCAATACTAGTATTAAATGGTATAGTTATACAAACATGATCAAAAATAATTATATAAGAGCATGTAGTAAATTTTACAATAAACTGGCATTCAGTGATGTATCAATTAATATAAATACAGAAGAAAGCAGAAATTACAATACCAATAATGGAATTTGTTATTGCAAGGTAAATTATTTAATTGCTAATTTGTTATAAGATACATATAAAGTTTTTTAAATATAAATTATATCTATCTTTTTAGATCCTTATATTGGTTACCATTACTATTAAAAATTATCTGACACAATTTGATCTTGCTTTTGTACAATAGTATGACTTTTACTTTAAGAATGACCATCATTTATACAAATATGATTGTCCACTATTAAAACTCTCAGATATATTTGATTTTATTTCTGTGAAATCTATTATTGAATTGGTGTATATAATTAAATATGCAGAAAAGCAAAATGAATATTTTGTCAATATATATATGTTTTAATAACAGTCATTGTTTATAATACAATTAAATATAAAAATATTACTATATAATAGATTTAAATTTAATATCTTTTTAGAAATTCAATAATATTTACACATAATACTAAAAACAAATGTGCTATAGTATATGCACCTTTTTTAAACAAAACAGTGCCAAAATCTCTTTGCTTCATAATTTTTAATTTTAACAAAGCAAATAAATTTGATTTAATTTTTTTTTTTTTTTTGGTATTAAGGTGATCTCTTTGGTCTGGGGAACTTTTTATTAGAGTATAGACAAAGTTTTATATGTAATTACAACGATAGTACATCAAGCCACACGTGCACCTTTTGAGTGCCTATTTAAGTAGTCCGCCCGAAGGTTCTACACTATCTGTCGTACCTGTGCCCCAACTAGGGGGGTACCCATTTAAACCATCTGGTTCTAACTACCTCCATCAGCCCTCTAACCTAATGGGTTTCCTCACTATTCATATGCTAGATTTTGGTATCACCCAATGTGGATTTCGCACCCTACCTTAGGACACTTAACTATCCTTGAGGTAAACCTTACATAGTGGTACATGTCCCACACATGTATTCACGTACTTGTTCCTATAACTTTTTCCTAATTAGTACATATTAACCTGCCGTTCCGTATTCGTATCTCACGCCACCTTTTGGGGTGCTGCCATTCTACGGACATTTTTCAAGCACCAACCTTCCTAATTAGGCGCCCATTATATACTCCTGCCCTTGTTTTGGTTCCTAGCAACCCCAGTACCCCACAGTTAGACCGTCTTCTTACCCGGATTCTTTACCGGTCCCTCTCTTACTTCCAGCTGGCAACCCGGAAGGGTTGGTCTGCCTAGGCTTTAGGTGCCTAAAGGACGCCCTCCCCTTGATCCATACTTTCGAAACATATGTCCTTTTCCTCCGGTGCGACAACCCGGCAGTTCGGCTGGTGTGTCTTCCGCCAAGGACCTGGTCGCTCGGTTCTCTGATCTCAGGCCCCAGTTCAAATTTAGCCCTCCTGTGGTACCGTCATAAATCACTACTACCTCCAAACTCGGGACTTGCCAAATGAGTTTTTGGTTATTCCAGTTCCTCGGATTTATTGCGCCAAAGCTCCCATAACTAGATGGTATGACCGAGATTATAGATTTTTAGATCCAACCGATAATCAACAACCGTAAACCGTAATACAAGCTATTTTTCAAAATTCGTCGTCCGTGAGATTTGAACTCTAGACCTGCCACTTGAAGAGGATGATGACTAGACCACTACACTAGGTCACCACACCTCGCTTTAGTGAATATATATTTAAGCTAAAGAGATCAAGTTAATTATATATTTTTTTTCGAGCTTGCGAGAAAAAGGCTTACACTTTCACATTTACTATAGAGATTCCACTAAAAGTTCTCTTACAACAATAGAGGTGATATGTTTTTTCATTATAATAATTACCAAAACCCCATTTATCTTTTAAATCTTTCTATATACTTTCTTTATGATCTCTATTGCATAAAGGACATATTCTTGAATAATTATAATAATCGCTATTTTTAATACTATGTTTAAGCAATAAATTATTAAATTGCTTCAATGTGATATAAATAACAAGATTTTGTTTTTCTTCTGGATCATTGGGTAAGATAGAAATTAGAAAACGAGAATTGAGAAATGCATTTTTTTTTTTTTTTTTTTGAATTAACCCTGAAGTCATGAGACCAGGGGCGCAGATTGTGCTCTTTTATTAGGAATATAATAAATAATCTATGTACAACTTATGTATTTACATATTATTTTAGAGGTTTTAGAAAGGTTGTTTAATGCATTGTATTTTAGAGCATATATTTCTCTTGAAATACGATTTCTAGTAATAGAGGTGAAAGAGGCTAGAGGTATATCTGCCTCTCTCCATTTTGCTGCAGTATATCGACACCAGATCTCATATATCGAGTTAATGTGGAGCCAGATCTTGGCTAGAGAGACTTGAGAGTGTGGTGAGTCCAGAATTTGGAAGACTTCTTCCAAGTTTGAAGAAGGAGTTTTTTCGCTAGTAATATTCAGAAAGTTATAAGTCTCCTCTCAGATCAAGGAGCTAACCTAGCATTCAATCGCAAAGTGCTCAGGTGTTTGAAGATCATTTGGGCACCAAATACAGTTGCCTGACTCCGAAGAATCTATGTGTCTGAGCCAATAACCTAGAGGTAAAGCTTTGTGGAATAGGCGCCAGAATATGTCTCTTTTTTTATTATTTACAGATTTAAGTGAGAGCCAGAGAGGTAGGGGTACTTGAGAAGAGATTCGAAGAGAGATAGGAGGTGTGGACGTTTTTCTTAAAAGTTCTAAAACTTTCTTTGTTGTTATTTCAGATCCTTGAGTCTCTGCTATTTTAATTTCTTCTAATTTCCAGGGCCAATTTGTGGTAGAAGAGATTTTCCCTTTAATCCTATGCCAGGCCAAAAGATAGGGCTTCTATTCTGAGGGCCAGGCTTTAGTGCGAGGTTTGTCCAAGCTTAGTGCTTGCAAGGAAGAGATATTTCTCTTGTGTATAAGAGTTAAACTGATTTTTGTTCTTTCGTGTATAGCCCATAACGAGCTTGAGGTCTGAAGTTTTAGCCATACAGAGATTAATCAAGCATCAAGCATATCTTTAATAATTGGCGCCTGCAGGCCTGCATATTCAGCAGGCTGTTGAAATGTGGAGTACTTGGAGAGCATCCGTGAAGTATCTTTAATCCAAAGAGATATGATTCTATTTATTTCGGTTACTTGTTTTCTTCTGGGGGGAAGGAGGTAAGCCATGTACCAGATTTTAGATAAGATAAGGGCGTTTGCAATTACAATTTTCCTTTTAAAGGAGAGGTTTCTGCCTTCCAGTTTGTCAATAGCCTTTTTTAGTTTTTGTATTGTGGTGGGCCATAGGCTTTTCTCGGTTTGGCTATTTGTTGAGACGTTATAGCCTAGGATTGTAAGAGTGTCTTGTTCTTCTACCTTAGTGAATTGATCTTTATTAGGGAGGTTAACTCTCCAGGCCACAGGAGTAAGTAGAACGAGTTTGGATTTCATTTTGTTTATCTTAGCATTAGAGGCTGACTCATATAGATTAACTAGAGCCAGTACCTCG